GAAACAAACTCATCTACATCTTAGATGGCCTGAGGGGGAATACATTTTCAGCAAATTTTTATTTTTGGGTGGACTATTCCTTTAATTATAATTAACTGAGGAATCAATTGACAAAATGAGCAACTGAAAAGACTACTTTTAGCAAAATGAAATCAAATGCATATTTTTCAACATCTCAAACTTTGCAATCAAAAGCAAAAAACATGAGCTCATTTGCATTCATTCTATGGCTCTATATGTTTATTGTACCGTATGTCACCAGTTGTTTTATTTGTATATTTTATTCTCCTAAGGAGTTTTTCAGGCATCTGAGACAAAGTTGATAATTATATGAAATCTTAGCTACAAATGAGAAACTCCTGAGCAACAGAATTGTACTCAGGGAATGCAATCATTCTTCTTGATCTTTTTTTTTATTGTAATAAGACCAAAAGCACACGTTTGACAGGTCCACGACATGTCAGACTGATATGGGAATTCAAAGTAACAAAGCAGTAAGAATGAAACTTAACACCAGAGCAGTTCTTGCTCATGCACAGAGCTGCGACCACAACACACACTCAACATCTGACCTGAAGAGGTTTCCTTCAGCCTGAGCTTCAGCTGATTCACATGCTCCATACCCTACAGACCAAATGCATGTTCAAATAGAGTAATAAGCACTTACTGTGGCTTATGTTGAGTCAGTGTGAGCTTCTGTCCAGCCGTCTGTAGGAGGAGGTTGCAGTCAAGCTCTCCGTCTCTGTTTCTCTTGAATGTGTAGAAACTTGCGTTTTCATCAGACATCATCTGAAGACAAACTCCACCCTGATGTCTTCCTCCACCCCTATGAGTCTTTTTCTCTCTTTGAATGTGCATTTCGTAGAATCTCACATGGTGTCTATGTGACAGCTCAGAAATGTCAGTTTTGATATCAGTTACTAATCAATGCTGAATAATGAAAAAAACCCTCATATTATTTAAATGTATTAATTCAGCTGATACTTTCAAATTAAACAAAACCAGGATCCTGTATTGGCAGTTATGTTAAGTTTTGTTATTTTTTCTGATGAAGAAGACACATAAACTGAATTAACTTTTGTAAGCAGACTTACATTATTCTGATATCTTTTGATTTTCTGTATATCTGATACTTTCATTTCTGTGTTGCAAGAACAAAATATTTTAAGTATACAAATATGGCTTAAAAATTAATAAATGAACGAACAAACAAATGAATGAATGAATGGATGGATGGATAAATAAATAAATAAATAAATAGGACTAAATAAATAAATAAATGAT